TCTAATGTCTCCCACGGAGTAACTGAGGTCCTAAAGGGAACAGCTCAAGTGTATGGTCGAGGACCATTATGAACACCACCACCACCAAGGACTACAATGAATACTCTGAAAACAAGGAAAAGGGAGCTGAGCTTGCAGTAGCGTGCAGTTTCACCAGATTTTCTGTAGTCCTTAGGTCTACTCTCTGCTTCACCTAAGCAGACACATTCTGTTTGTTTTTGAGATTAACATCTTGTTCCAATAAATAGTTTAAAAAAAATATTCCTTACACTCATAATTCATATTCACAATCATGTCTTACAGTTATACTTTAAACATTATAAAACCCATTCTTATACTATTCTTGCCTCCTAACATTTCTATGAGGAAAGTTAATTAGTTATTTAAATAGTTAATTATTATCCCCATTTTACAGATTTAGAATAACGAAGCCTATTTAAATTTAAAAGATCTTTGTATTACAAATTTCATTCATTCAACACAATGCCTACCATGTACCATATAGTTACTGGAATTCAGAATTTCCAAAAGGTTCCATTTTATTTTTTAGCTCTGTGAAGTCTCTATTTGATATTGCTTAAACTTTATTATGACCTTCTAAAGGGTAGTAAAGTATCTTTCTAATCTTTTTGCATGTGGTAGATACAATAAAGGTTTACAGATTTAATTAAATGTGCTACTACCATCTATTCAAGACTTTGGTTATAAAATGGGTGGATTCTCCATCCCCTGGACTCTTTTATTTTCTTTCCAGTTGCCTATCTTGGTGTTATAGTTCTCCAAATGTTACCTTTACCTTCATTTTAACTGAAATCTAGTTGTCTCCTGAGAACTTCCTTCCCTGCAGCCCTCTCAGGCATTTTTTCCCACAACACAGTTATATTGGCCCTAGCTGGGGGTGGTGACTACCCTTCTCCCTCCTTATTGCTACATTCTCACTGAGAGAATAATAGGAGATGAGAGCCAAGATGTAGCTCATGGTCTTTCTCTTCAACCCTGCTCCTGTCATCACTCTTGGAGATTTTGTTAGCCATGAATCCTAGCCTCTCAGTCCCATTATTTAGATCTTTTAGCTCCAAGAATTGCACCTTCTTCTCTTCTCCCCTGATCATTATCTGGACTATGTCTTTTCCAAATTAAAATTTCAAGCTTCCAAGTGTGATGACCCCCTGGTGCTTTCCAGGTAACTCCATCAATACTTCAGTCTCACCAGGACCTCAAACTTATTTGTCCCTTTCGTTAGTGTTACATATTCATTCACATTGTTGTACAACCAGTTTCCAGAACTGAAACTCTATATGCATAAAACAACACTCCACACCTCCCCTCCTCCCAGCCCCAGCAATCACTATTATAGTTTCCATCTCTATGAATTTGATTACTCTAGGTACCACTTATAAGTAGAATTATACAGTATTTGCCTTTTTGTGACTAGCTTGTTTCACTTAGCATAATGTCCTAAAGTTTCATCCATGTTGTAGCATATATCAGAATTTTCTTCCTTTTTAAGACTGCGTAATTTCCCATTGTGTATGTATATACCACATTTTGCTTATCCATTCATCTGTCAATGAACACCTGGGTTGCTAACAACTTTTGGCTGTTGTGAATAATATTGCTATGAACATGGGTGTACAAATACCTCTTCAAGATCTTATTTTCAGTTCTTTTGGGTATATACCAAAAAGTGGAATTGCTAGATCATATGGTAATTCTTACTTTTTAAATAACCTCCATATTATGTTTTCCACAACAGCTGCACCATTTTTACATTTCTATCAATAGCGCACAAGGGTTCCAGTTTCTCTACATCCTTGACATTTGATATTTTCTGGGTTTTTTTTTTTAGTAACCATTCAAATGGATGTGAGGGGGTATCTCATTGTGGTTTTGATTTGTGTTTGCCTAATAATTATGGCACCTAATGTTGAGCATCTTTTCATGTACTTGTTGGTCATTTATATATCTGCTTTGGAGAAATGTCTATTCATGCCCTTTACCTAGGTAATAGAATTACCTGGTTTTTTGTTCTTGAGTTTTAGGAGTTCTTTATATAGTCTGGACATTAATCACTTATTTTATATATATATGTATATATATGATTTGCAAATATTTTCTACCTTCCATAGATTGCCTTTTCACTCTGTTGATTCACTCTGTGTCCTTTAATGCACAGAAGTTTTTAATTAAATGTAGTCCAATTTATCTATTTACACTTTTGTTCCCTATGCTTTTGGTATCATATCAAAGAAATTGTGACAAAAGCCAATGTCTTGAAGACTTTTCCCTATATTTTCTTCTAGGAGTTTTATAGTTGTAGGTTTTACATTTAGGTTTTTAATCCACTTTGAGCTTACTTTTGTATATAGCATAAGGCAATAGAATAACTTTATTCTTTAGTATCTAGATATCCAATTTTCCCACGAAATATTTTTGAAAAGACTCCTTTTCCCCAATGAATGATCTTGGCACTCTTATTGAATATATTTGACCATGTTTAAGAGGGTTTATTTCTTAGCTTTCTATTTGATCTATTACACATCTGTCTTAGTGACACTACTATACTATTTTGGTTACAGTAGCTTTGTAAAAGCTTTGATATTGGCAAGTGTAAGACACAACATTGTTTTTCTTTATCAAGATTGTTTCAGCTATTTGGGGTCCCTTCAATTCCATATGAATTTAGAATGGATGTTTCTATTTCTGGAAAAAAAATGCCACTGGGATTTTGATAGGGATTGCATTGCATCTGTAATAACTTTGGGTAGTATTGGTATTTTAACAAATTAAATCTTCCATTCCATGAACATGTGATGTCTTTCCATTTATTTTTGTCTTCATTAATTTTT